AGAGAGAGAGAGAGAGAGAGAGAGAGAGAGAGAGAGAGAGATTGATTCCAGCTCTAGATACAAAATATACACCGCAAAGCCACGCCCCCAAGGAGCCACTTCCTCCAGCCACACCTGACTCGCCTCGAGTTGTCACTCAGTTAGTCCCATCAGGGATCAATTCACTGACTGGGTGAAGACTCTCGCAATCCCGTCGTTTCTCCTCTGAGCCTTCTTGCACTGTCTCCCATGTGAGCTTTTGGGGGACACTTCACATCCAAGCCACAACGTTTGCCTAGCACGCACGAGGCCTTAGGTTCAACCCCCAGAACACCATCCCAGCAGCAATTCCACTCCTGGTAAATATATTGAGAACTGGTCCTCGGACCAGCACCTCTGTTCCCAACAGCATTAGTCACAGTCCCCAAGGGGAAACGTGTCCCTCTATGGGGGAATGCCCATGCAAAACTCGGTTCATCCTCATGACAGAATATCATTCTGCCCTAAGGGAATGGAGCCATGAGGCGTGATCCATGCTGCACTGCAGAGGAGCCTCGGCCACAGCAGCTCATGAAATAACCCTGACACGAAGCCGCCGGCTGTTTCCATCTCTGTGAAATGTCCATACAGACAAACCCAGTGCCTGCCCGGGCTTGGGGAAGGGCAGGCAGGTAGGGCCTCAAACTTCTGGGCTCAAGCAATTCTCCTGCCTCAGCTTCCTGAGCAGCTGGGACTACAAATATATACCACTGTAGCCAGCTATTTCTGGAATTTTCCATTTTATCAATTTGTTGAAGGAATGGATTTTACAAAGAGTCCCCAGCCACTGTGGAGAAGACAAGCTGGACGGGAGAGGCTGGACCAGGCGGGAGCAGAGGCCATGGGGAGGAGAGGAAAGGCAGCCTGGGAGGGACCCAGGGGCTTGCCAGCATCCAGATCCAGGGAGAGGAAAGGAGGACTGGCTTGGGGGTCTGCTGGCTGTCACCGAAGTTAGGCAAGGGGGAGAAGAAGTAGGGGTCAGTAAAAATACAAACTGGCTCAACAAACATGATGCTCAGGGCACCAAACCAGGTGCCCTCTTTATCATGTGTCCTGCATTCTCACCAGCAGGTGGGGTCCTGCCTGCTCCTCTTCCTGTGACAGAGTCAGCACTGAGGCTGGGATGGGAGGTGCCTGCAGAGCTGGGACCCAAACCTCCCTTCCCTGCGTCCTCCCGGGGTGGGGGTTGGCTACGGAGTGTACACACGGGGCTGTTGGTTGATTCAGCCAGGTCAAGGTCACCTGTGGGTTAATGAATAATGAGGAGGGAGAAGGGGATGGCCTGTCATGGGTCCTGGAGGGAGATTCTGGGAAAACAAAAGCTGGCCAGTCCTCAGAGGAAAGAATGGGGGCAGGGTGTACCAGGCAGCAGCCAACCCAGGCAGGTGTGCAGTGGGGCGCCTGGGACCCACCCTTAAATCCTTACCCCCCTCCTTGCACCCCATCTGGGGGTGCTAGATCAAACACAGGACTTCCAGTTAAATCTCAACGTCAGGAAAATAATAAGCAGTCTCAGGGGCCTGGTTCCTATGGGACACCCAGGGGTGCCAAATCGGAGTATGGCCAAGTCCCCTAAGTCAAATGCTGCAGTATTCATAGCCTCTTGTAGACTTCACAGACGGGTGACACCAACACAGTGCAACTCGGTGGCCACAGCACTACACTGGACCAAGTCAGAACAATGTCCAGAAAAAAATTCTGTGCATGTTCAGAAAAGATGCCATTTCTTCCCCAAATACTTGCAGGTTGCTTGAATGCCTGCAAGAGGGACCTAAGGGTACGGGCCTACCACAACTGCTCAGAGTAAGGCCATTCAGATGCCCCATTACCTGTCAGCCAGCAGCCTGGCCCCGCCCAGATACAGAATGCTGGGCTGCCTGGGCCTCCACTGGGAACCCCCGCCCCTCCCTTGCTGGCTCATCTTGTCCACCATTTCCCTCCCAAGCCTCTGGACACAATGTGTGCACATCCCGAGAAAGGCCACTTGAGGCCCAGGAATTCCCCTTCCTCCCAGGGGGCCTGGTCCTCTCCAGGCCTCTGGCTCCCCTTCCAGCCCCCTTGCCTGTGGTCACCAGGTCTGGAGCCCTCCAGATCCCCAGCACCAGGAGCCTGAAGGGTGGCGGCCCTGTATTGATCCTCCCCTCCCAGCCAGGAGACTTCTAGGCATTGGGCCCCTCCCAAGGGCACATAGCAGCACTGTCCTGTGGGCCACTGTTCAGATGGCTTAAATGAGGCTGCAGAAGAAGAAAGCAATCCTTGCAGCAGGACAGGAGTCCCTCATCAGCATTACCAGTGCCCCAGTCCCCGTGTTTAGGGCCATCACGAAACCAGGAAATAGGGTGGCTGATGGGGGGAAGGAGTGGGGAAGTCATGGGGGCCACTGGGGATCAGTTTGAGCAAGCGTTTTCATCTTCTGTCTCCCTGAGAGGTTTTGCAATCAAAGGGACAGAAGCCAGGTTTGCTCTAAACCTCCAGGCCTCCCCCACCCTGGCACAGCCAGGGACAAGGTGTGGTTTACAGGAAATCAGAGCAAACTCCCCTTTAACCTTTTCAGTGGGGTTTGGAAACCACCTTTCCAGGGACCAAGACCCCCACCCTCACACCATTCCCATTAACCCTTTACCTCCTGTGATCAGGGGACAACACCTCTGAGCATCAGAGGTATGCAAATGTCAATGACACTGAGCTTCCAGTTTGTACCCAGGTTGCAAGAATCCAAAAGCCTGCCCACATGCTCTGGGGTCCAGGCCCTGGGGAAATTGGCAATGCATTTCATGCAAGCTGAGGAGTGGGTAAATCACTACAGCTCCCAGGAAGCGGAACGTGGCAGTATCTAGCAATGTCAGCGGGCATGTACATGTGGCCCCAGCACCTTCTCCTGTAGTTGCAAAACAACTCATCTGCAGGAGGAGGCAGAGGCTCAGAATGCTTATCAGGAGCTGGCCCAAAGACCACAG